CTAGAGAGGAAAAGTGTAAAAACGAAGTCTAGAAGTTGAATTCTCATCCCTAGGTCTGAAATCTGATGTTAAAAACCCATCCTCGAAAATCGCGCCGTGTAAGTCGCGAATCGCGAGTCGCGACTTTCACTTTTTTTGAGTCGCGAGTCGCGACATCTCGCGAGTCGCGACATCTCGCGAGTCGCGCGTCTTCAAATATATTTAAAGTCAGGGAAAAATCGCGACAGGTCTCGCGAGTCACGACTCTATCTCACGAGTCGCGACATTGACTCGCGAGTCGCGACTCGCCTCGCGAAATTCGTCTTTCGTCCGTCTTCCGTCTCTGTCAAACTCGCGAGTCGCGAGTCGCGAAGAATGCTAGGCGCGTTTTCGGTCCGTTTTTCTGGTCCTTCCTTCAGCTTTCTGGGCTCGGCAACTGGTATTCTTGATATCATGGTCTCAGCTCCAACAGTATCGTCCTCGACCGGCACGACCTATCTCCTGAAAACACAAACACAGAGAAAACACGGAGCAAAACACGGCAAAAAGACGCACAAAACGAAACTAAAGAGAAAAAACACAAAAACACAGAATTGGACCAAATAAACCACGAAAATCCTATAAATGGGGAAAATAAAAGGAAAATAAACCCAAAACAAAGACACAAAAGTTCGGAATCTAGCGTTGGTATTAATCACACACGAAAAGAAAATAAGTCTTAAACACTCTAATCATGATTAATTTGGTGAATTAACTAAAACAAGCTAGATCTAGAAAAACAATTTAAAGAAATAACAATTAAATCTCTAGAGAAAAAGAAGAAGCTCTAGGGGTCGGGAAATCTCATCAAGTTTCAAACTATGTTGAACGAGTATTTGTTCGGTTACGAGATTTAACAAGCCTACACATCTAGAGGGCTATGCTCAATAACTCTTAGTAACAATAACTCTTCGTAACAAGAGCACATACATAAACGATAAACTCATTCAAACAAGCACCACATGGACAATACGTTTCCGAACAAGTCAACTCTATACGAGCCTAAATCAACCGACATCTCCCCTCTCGGTTCTAAACGTTGATTTATTAGGTTAGAAAGGTGATCAATATACTAACCCTAGGACAAGAACAACTCGCATAGATATGAGCAATTAAGAACAAGCAATTATTGGACCTAATCAATCATCCTCTATCCCTCGCGTATGTGTTTAGCTACTCATATGGAATTTAACATCAACATTCATATTAGCCCAAGCCACCATCATCAACACACAATTGAGAAAATAAGAACTTACGATTAATGTAAATAGTTCAATGTCAAATCCACAAGCATCCAAATCCAAAGCAAGAAAATAGAGTTTCAATCTCCAAAATCCAATCAGAAGAGCAAAAATATGAAAAGGAATGAGTTTCTAGAGAGGAAAAGTGTAAAAACGAAGTCTGGAAGTTGAATTCTCATCCCTAGGTCCGAAATCTAATGTTAAAAACCCATCCTCGAAAATCGCGCCGCGTAAGTCGCGAGTCGCGAGATAAGTCACGAGTCGCGACTTTCACTTTTTCCGAATCGCGAGTCGCGCGTCTTCAAATATATTTGAACTCTGGGGAAATTCGTGACAGGTCTCGCGAGTCGCGACTCTATCTCGCGAGTCGCGACATTGACTCGTGAGTCACGACTCACCTCGCGAAATCCGTCTTTGGTCCGTCTTCCATCTCTGTCAAACTCGCGAGTCGCGAGTCGCGACTCGACTCACGAGTTGCGAAGAATGCTGGGCGTGTTTTCGGTCTATTTTTCTGGTCCTTCCTTCAGCTTTCTGGACTCGGCAACTGGTATTCTTGATGTAACGGTCTCAGCTCCAACAGTCTCTTCCTCGACCGGCACGACCTACCTCCTGAAAACACAAACACGGAGAAAACACGGCAAAAAGACGCACAAAACGAAACTAAAGAGAAAAAAACAAAAACACAGAATTGGACCAAATAAACCACGAAAATCCTTTAAATGGGGAAAATAAAAGGAAAATAAACCCAAAACAAAGACATAAAAATGGGACAAACAATGCAATCAAGGGTATGCCCCCGGGCTCAAAATGACTGATATTCCAATACCTACAAACCGTGGTGGACGAATCATCCTAACTTCTCGAGGAGGGACCCAAAGGCGGGGTATGCACCCTAACCAGCCCCGCAACTAGCCTTTCCCCAACCTCAAACATACGCGCCCCCGCACAACCTACCATTCCAACCGAGGCCCGAACTTCAAGGGTACCAATCGAGGCCCAAATTCCAAGGATATCCACAAAGGCGTGAAGGTTTCATCCAAAGAAAACCAATGCCACCTCTACAAGAGCCCGAGAAGAATGCTATTGGTAAGTTTTCAGATACCCAGATTGAAAGCTTAAAGAAATGTCTTCAATCGTTAGCCTCAACCGTCTCTACGGTGCACGACACCGTTTAAGGAGTGCCCTCAATTCAAGCCTCTCTAATATGCCCCGAGACTCAAATGGGGCAACTCGTGACTTCTATTGGCGAAATCCAAAGGAGCAAGATGAAGGACAAGCTCCCAAGCCAACCCGAACATATCAATATCATCACGGTTTTGAGAAATGGCAAGAAGGTTGACAATTATGTGGAGATGCCCAAGGAAAACGAGGTGGAGAGAAATGTTGATAAGGATGATGAAGAACTGAGTGAGAAAGATGAGGTTTCAAAAGGAAAGGCCATTGTTGATGAGGTTATCAAGAAGGAGAACTCAACGAAGGACGCACGTGATGTTTTACATAAAACATATACACCCTACCGACCACCGGTTCCCTACCCGAGTAGACTTCAAGACATAAAGAAGAATTGGCAATTCAAGGATCTCTGTGATATGCTATCAAATGTAAATTTCAATCTACCTCTCTTGGATGTGATTCAAATGTCCCGGCGTATGTTCAAATTTTCAAGGATTTTGCCCCTAATAAGAGGAGGTTTAGGGATAACAAGAAGGTTATGATATCCGAGGTGTCTTCAGCCACTATACCTTGGAAAAGGTGTGATCCGGGAGCTTTTGTTATGAAGATCGCATTTGGGAATGGAAAGGCTACAACCGGGATGCTTGATTCAGGTGCCGACATTAATCTCATGCCTTATTGAATTTACACCCAAATGGGACTGCATGGACTCAAGCCTACATGAATGTCTCTACAACTAGAGGATTGTACGTTGAGGAAACCAAAGGGCATTATTGAGGATGTTTTGGTCAAAGTCGGTTCTATTGTTGTGGCGATTGATTTTGTAGTCCTTGACGTTGAAGATGTTCCAAATACTGGGAAGGAACACACGATTTCGCTTGCTCGACCCTTCATGGTGACAACCAACACGTTTATCATGTCAAGGATGGTTGAGTCACTGATTCGGCTCATGGAGAGACGGTTACCTTCACGATGAACAATGCTCGAGAAGCTCCATCCAAAGTTGGTCAATGCTCATTTAAGGAGGATATCGAAAAAGAGGTACATTCTGGTTCTTATTCAAGTTTCCAAATTACAATCGTGCTATTGAGAAGGAGGAGTTGGAGTCGGGAAAAAATAAAAATGGTGACTTTGAAGTGTGACTATTAATTGACGGTGAAGTGGAGCTCACGACGTTAAAACGAGCGTTTCGTGGGAGGCAACCCACGTTTTTGCTTTTGTTATTTTCTTATTTCTTTTCATTTTGTTCTTTTCTTTTCCTTTATTTTCATTTCCTTCTTATTAAAAAAGAGAGAGAGAGAGAGAGAGAGAGTGCTTGTGCCGACCTGCGCGACAGTAACAACTTGTTAAAGCCGAGCCAAAAAAAAAATGTGAAATCAAGAGTTCGAATGAGAATTGGGTGTAAAAATGCCTAAGGGGACGTTTGTTTACCAATTAATTGGTAAAAACTGAGATAATTGAACATTTTGGATTATTTTGGTAAAAACTGCGATTGTCTACAAAAAATTTCAATTTGGCATTCTGAAAAACGGACCCACTTCAAAGCTAGCTTGTCCCGCATTAACTGTTTTCAACTTTAATATTAAATTGATATAAATTGATATTGATATGTTCTCTGACAAAAGCAACCTACTACCTTCTCCTCTTTGAATTAAACGACGACCCCTTCCTCAATAAATCTCCTTCATCTCCGTCTGAAATAATCATGAGCTCCGGTTTAAATCCTTCTGTGCCCACTTCGCTTCCATCTTTTCGATTGCCGGAAACTTTGCTGGAGATACGGGATCCGCACAGCGAAAGCACCGGCAGCGTGTCGGTGAACTCGCCCGAGAAAAGAAAAAAACAGAGAAGAAAGGTTTGTTTGATTTAAATGTGTTTTTCCTGCAGCCTTTTTTCCTTATATATGATTCGGTGAATTTTTCCTTGAATTTGTCGAAAAAAGTATTTTGTATATGCGATTTTGCTTATTTTGTGACCCGATAATTATAAATTAGGGATTACATATTGTATAATTTGGGAACCGATATTTTGTGTTTCGCATGCCATCTCTTATGATATGTTATATTATTTTAAGTGGATTTGGTTAACTTTTCTATTTTCTTTTGGGTTGAACTGTGCCTGGTTGTGTGTGTTCATGAAGTTGAGTTTTGACCGGCAGCAAAATGTGATTATTATTCCGGTTGTAACTGGATCTCTTATGATATGCCTCATTTCAATTCTTGTGGTGGTGTTTTGCTGAATTTTTTTTATATGCTGACCTATTTTTTCGATTTATATTTGGGTTGTTGTCATGTTACACTGTATGTTTCCATGTGAACAATACAATCTTGGAGCTGTTTTTCGTGAAAAATTGTAGATGTCCACATCCAATGACGCTGGCCCTTCGCAACACAAACAAGGAGAAGCAAAGTGGCCTCCAGAGAATGAGGCTCACTTCATATCGTTGATGTTGGACCAAGTTATCCTGGGAAAGCGCATCGGGCAGAAGTTCAAACAAGCCAATTGGATGGAGATCCAAAAAAACTGAATGATATTTGTGGTCCTGACTATTATTACGAGATAACACAAATGACGAGTAAGCATGATCGATTGAAGCAGCAGTGGCGTCGGTTTTTCAAACTGCTTAACAAAGATACGGGATTCGGTTGGGATATTAACAGTGGGAAGATTACAGGCGGTGACGAGTTTGGGCCCAGTGGATCACGGTTAGTGCACTATTTCTATTTTTTTCCCAACTTTTTATGGTCTTAGTATGTGTACATTGTGATGGGTTGAACTTAAAAAAATGGGTGTTCATACACAGAAATTGTTCTTAGTATGTACCCCCCTGTTTATTTAATTACAATGAAAATCCTTTTGGTTTTAAATATGTTATGAAGCTTTTACATGACTGCAACTTGGTTGATTTATGAAATTACTTTTATAGTTATGTGTCTATTATTAGTATCAATTTATTGGTCTTAGTTACTGTAGGTGTTGTAGTATATTTGGTTTGGATTTCCCTGTAATAAACATTCGCTTATTATGTGTCCACTCTTTTCGAACAATAGGGTCATCCACAGGACAATGACATGAAGAAAAGGGTGTGCGTGCACTACAGTGAGCTGACCACAATTTTCAATGGAACAACTGCAACTGGGTGCGGTGCAAGGGCATCTACACAAACACCCGATGGAAATGGCAGTCGTCGGAGAACAAACTTGGCGACCTGTTCGAATTATTTGTTTCCTAATGAGTCGAATGATGAGGAAATGAATACCCAGGACAGTGATCGGACCATTCGTCGCCGTAGAGGGACCAATTCCACCTTTGACACAACCATGAATTCTATTACTGAAGCAAGTCGCATAATCCAGTATAATGTGCGCCCGAGTACAGAAAAGGATCAAGAGAGCCTTCAACAAGCTTTGAAAGCACTGGAGTCCTTGCCTAATGTCCCCATGGAGGTTCGAAAGTTAGCTTGGAAGAGGTTTCGTGACCCTTGGAGCCTGTACACG